TATAAATCTAGATAATTAATTTATATTCCATATTCTGTGCAAACCTCAGCATTACCTTTAAGGTAGTAAACAATGGCTATATTAACCATTGGTTAGTCACTGGTGTTATAATGTGTTGCGTAACCCTTGTAGATGACTATAATTGTCTTACAAATTAGTAAAATCAATTCTAGGTTTATTTTATCTTAGTTTATTTTGTTAATATCCAGAGGATATCCTCTCAAATCCAGCATTGTCAAAATACTTTTGTTTTTGTTTTTGTGAGTGTGCTTTTGGTTTGTTGAGGGATTTGTTTAGACTTGAAGAATTACCATGCAACTAAGGTTTTGTGTATGTGTGAATCCAGCCATTGAGCTTTGTAAACAATACTGTATGGCTTAGTATGCTTTATGAATTAAGCCATTTATATTCTTTCAGTAAACCATGACTTAGCATGGTATTTCAACATTGTTTAGAATTTCTGAGTTTCTTTAATAGGCCGGGAGTTCGGGTTTATCATTTTTGTTTATGTGCAGTATTGTGTTCATGTCTTTTTGGTGGTGACTGTACTTATATAAATGTTCTTATGAAAAGTCATGTTATCCATATGTTGGTTTTAATGGGCTGTATAGTCTTGATTCTTTAAGATGCCGACATATAAATCTGGCTTTTTATGCAAGTTTATTGTGCACAGAGATATATGTTTCAACAGTTATAATTTTTGTATTGAACTTTCATAGTGTCTGTGGGTTAATAAAGATCCATGTTTTGCCCGTGTTGAATATTTTTGAGCATCAGTGGTTTCCTTTCTGTGACTTGAGTATTTTGTTACCTTTTGTGGAATATTTGGAAATTCCAAATGCCATTGAATTCTAAGGAGCAGCAGTTTTCATCCTTGCTAGTTTTTAAGATATGTGGACTTCAGCATGCTGGCTGGGGAAATCTGGAAGTTGATCCACACATCTTACACTTGCTTAAGTTGAAACTATGGAGTAACAGGTAGCTTTGCTGAATATCAGAGAGCCTGTTGCTGGGTTTAGAAATGGCAACTTCACTTCCATGTTCCGCTTATTTAATTTAGTTCCAAAGATACTGGTACTTATTAGATTATGGACAATTTTGTTATAAAATCCATAAACTCTTCTTTTAATTTGACTTTGGAAAACTGACCTTGATGGTAGTTTATCATTTAGTGGAATGGAACAATTCAGTCAGAGTATCAGACTGATAGAGATCATGCATGGATGTTTCACTATTAATCATTTTGCCTTTTTTAACTAATTTGTCTGTGTCAGAGATGGGAAGAATGAATAAATCAGCATGATTATTTCTGTTCTCTTGAGAGACAGCTGTTAAGTATCTAATACTGTACTGTAAATATTTTTTTAATGTGAACATGTTAGCATTTCAGCAATACACATGGTATGAAATTCAAACAATCCATTTTACTAGAAAAAAATAATTCTGGAGAAATTCTAGTATAGTAAAATATATTTAACCCATATCTTTACTAAACACAGTGCATATCAAAACTGTGTCATCCAAAATGCCCAAAACACAGCAGTACCAATTTTGTTTTTTTTGTTCCCCCCCCCACAGAGGAGCACAGTACATTCCAGGAGCACCGAAGTTATATTTAGCAAAGGCTCATGCATAATAACTCTGTGGTGCTCAGCTGGGACTTTACTCCTCTGGAAAGGGTGCAATCCAACTTCCTAATAAGAGCCATATTTCACTGCGTCCCAAATGTAGTACTCAGGAAAGAGGCAAGACTAGCCAAAATTGAAACAGGTACATTGATTTAAACTATTCTTTTTCCCTACAAGTTTGAGGTTTTTCCTTATAGAAGACAATTTTGAATCAACCTGAACCATGGACCATCTCAAACAAACTCCAGTATCTTGGTTTCTCCAGGCAAGTGCTTTTGATGGTGGGATATGAGTGTACACTTAGCGTACTTAAACAACGTATTAAAGATCAGGAAATCCAACAAGATTGGGCTGTTCTTCCCACAAAAGTTTATTTGAGCAAATTACCCCTTTAAAGCAGTGAGATATTTATATCAAACGGTCCCCAAAATACAAAGGGCATTAACCTTAGCGTGCTGCAACACCTTTCTCACAGCAGTTTGGGAGGGCCAGTACAAAAAGAATATCATATGAGCTGCGACTGTGCCCCTGTGGACAAGGAGCCATTGAAACTACAGCTCACATCCTGCTATACTGCATTTTCCCTTAGGGNTAAACTGGATCTAATTCTTACCAATAGCGAAGAAGTGATAGAGGAAGTTGAAATTGCTGGAACTTTGGGTGAGAGTGACGATGGCATATTGGAATTCAATATAATGCAAACATAAGCAATAAAACATAATCCAGCCAGTGTCTTAAACTTTAAAAGTTTAATTACAAACACACTGATTTATAAATCCTAAAGTTAGCTGGAGTGGTTATCTCCTAGCTTTAACAATGCTTAAGATGTTCCACAAATCGTCATTGACCTGGTTCACATATGCCAAAAAACCTGGTTTGCTTGGGTTTCATTTCAAATCCAATTGTATTTGTATTCACATAACATAATTCATGGGTATGTTTGTGAAAGTGCAGCTTCAGATATTGGGCTTAATGAATAATGAACAGTCATAATTTGGTTTGTTCATTTAGTGATTGTATGAATTTAGGCTATTTATATTCTCTATCTTTAAAAGCAGATCTAATTTACATATTGTATATTCTTCACTGAAAGTAAATATTCCTTATTATTAGTTTTTTCCAAAGATATTATTCCAATTTAACAAATCACATTATGTCAAGGTTGATATGACAGTGAAAACCTCGTTTGTTTAGTTCAGCATGTTAAAATTTAGGGGTTATTTCTAAGCCATGGTTT